ATGCGCGCGGATGCCAATGCCAGAGACAGCGCGAAACGGATAAAAAGGGAAGAAAAGAAAAAAAAGGCATAAAATGGCAAAAACACTCACCCCCTCCTCGAGATCGCACTCGCGGAACACGGCTTTGCGGAGCCCCCACTCGATGCTGAGTACGTCTGCGAGGATGTGGGCGCTCGCAGGGGTGAGCTGCACGCCGGAGAAGTCGACGGAGCGTGGGTGCGTGGGGGGTGTGGTCTGTAGTAGGGTATTTTTTATTTAAAAAAAAGTATAAAAAAGGGATGAGAAGGAGGACGGACCTTGAACGCCTGCATAATGCCCTTATCCGGCGGCTCGAGGCAGCCCTCGCAGCACTCGCGGTAGAAGCTCTCGACCTTGTCCATCGCCCACCACTCCAGTGTCTCCTCCTGCCCGCTCACGCCGCTCCTAATGCTCACGCTGTCCCCACCCACCATGGGTGAATTCAGGCTGGAGTTAGAGAGCGAGCGCACGACGCGCCGCCTGCGCTCGCGCTCGCGCTCCTCGATCGCGCGCTTCTCCTCCTTGAGCGCAGGGGTGCTCGGCGGCGCGAGGCTCGAGATGGGGTACACGACCGCTATCTCGGGCAAGATGAAGTGCGCGCGCTTGAGCACGCGGGCGTTCTCTGCGTCCTTGCCCCCTCCGTTAACAGCATTATTATTAATACCCTCGGGGTCGGAGTTGTTATTATTATTGGCGTTATTGGACGCAGGAAGAAACCGGGAGAGGCGAGAGAAGAGGGAGGCCTGGGCCGGGGGCGGCTTTTTGAGGATGGAGCGGCCGGGGATGGGAATTGTGTTGGCGCTGCTGGATGGCGAGGGAGACGACGGCGGGAGGCGCGGGCTGCCAGTACCATACGAGAGCGATTGGCCAGAGATCGAAGGCGAGGACAGCGAGCTGTTAGATCCGAAGGCGGGCGAAGAGAAGGAAAGGGACGGCGACGAGGTCAATGGTGACGAGGTCATCGTGGTTGCTGGCTGTACCCTAGACACCACAGCGCTCTTTGCGCATCAATCGGCCAAAGGAGAGAGCACGCAGTATTTGGCAAAAGCAACGGGGAATAACAATGGATAGTCATCAGGGTCACATTGGACATTGATCCGAAGGCGGTCCGAGTTCGCGAGAAACAGGAGGGCGGGTGGAAGAAGGAGAACCAGCTAAGAAATTAGAAGGCTCAGCTGATCGAAAAAAAAAACCCCCGTCGAGACGTTAGTTCATGCCCTTGGGAGGATTCGAACCTTCGTCTCCCACTTGGCGACACTGAGTTAAACCAAGGACAGTGGGTGATTTCCATTAATCAACAAGGGCTTCCTACCCTTCTCAATACCTGGAATACATGGGCATGATTTTGCCGATGTCTGCTGCAAGCCTGACTCACCAAATCTGAAATTGCAACCATGTACTGGAATCAATGTCTCATGATGAGTTCAACGTTGGTTCAAAGTAACAATTCAATGTGTATTCAAGTTATCTTGCAGATCAGTGCAGTGTGTGCCTTGAATGTGAATTAAAAGTAGGCACCCCGGATATATGCAGAGATTATTTCAACTCCACCGGAAATCCGCATGTAAATATGTCCGTCTCCCTAGTATCAGAAGGCAAAGATTTGGATAATTCAAGGAGGATATTTCTCCATAGTCTTTCCAGCTGCATCTTGCAGCCAAATTAACAACAACAAAAAAACACTGGGTGAGTCGAGAATACCCTGAGGAGGAATCGAACCTCCATGACCCATCAGCTATTTAACTGTTCATTCAAGTCGTATAGGTGATTTCCCTTAATCAACCAGGGTTTTACTCCCTTTCAACTGACCCTCGATATACGCAAAACTGCTAGACTGAATGAAGCCTGGCTAGGTGCAGTGTGACAATAACAATTCACCACGCCGCGCAGATACGTATATGTGTTCCAGTGCAGCGGCAGCACTAAACAAATATCCTGAATCAAACCAAAAAAAAAAAGAACTTCCCCAAATCATTATGCCCTGAGGAGGATTCGAACCTCCGTCTCCCACGTGACTACGCAAATGAGCCGGTATCAGTGGTGGGCGATTTCCATTAATCAACCAGAGTGTTATACCCCTTCAAAAGAACCTGGACATACCCGCACATTTTGCAAAAGAAACGGGCGGGAGCCTGCAAGAGATGTGCCAAATCCTGTGGAAGCCTAAAGCTTGTTACGAAGAGAACGTAATCTGTCCCAGTTCATGGTACCTTCAGTACAGATACATGCAGCAGGATCGTGAATCAGAAGCAAACTTTGTAAAAAAAAGCATCGAATGTCGGCGCATTATGCCCTCGGAAGGATTCGAACCTCCAGCTCCCGCTAGCGACTAATTTCTTCTTTCATAAAGGCCAGTAGGTGATTTCCATTAATCGACAAGGGCTTTCTACCCTTTTCAAGGCCCGGAATACACTGGCGTGATTTTATCACCATCTGCTGCAAGCCTGAATCACCAAATAAAATGCGAGCATGTGTTGAAAGTTGGTTGAAAGCAAAAATGAATACTTCACCCTTGAGCCATATCTTGGGCTCTCCGGCAAGTACCTCGAACGGTGAATTAAAGAACCATATCTCTGGTTCAGTGGTGCACCAAAACCGAGAAATATATGGAGATCCCGTAAACCTGCATGTAAAAAATATCTCCCTAGTATCAGAACGCAAAGAGTTGGGTAGTAATTCAACTATGAATTGTCGTCCGAAAATCAACGAGAAAAAAACGAATGGAGTTCCGCGGAATACCCTGAGGAGGACTCAAACCTCCATCTCCCATTAACTGCAAGTAGGCCGCGCCAGGTCGTACCGGTGATTTACTGTTAATCAACTAGGGCTCTGTATGCCTTCAACTGAACCCGGACATACGCACACATGTATCCAACTGCTAGACTGAATGAGGCCTAAGCAACCGAATGCCGGTCCGGCTGGCTGCAGTGTGCGGATAATAATTCACCTAAATACTCGCGCAGATACAGTATACTTATGCAGCAGTAAACAAGCAGATCTGGACTTGAATCAAAGCCAAAAAAAAAGAGAGAACTGGCCTAACGTATGCCCTGAGGAGGATTCGAACCTCCTTCTCCCACGCGAATGATCCGCTAACAAAGCACTTCATTGGTTGTGGGTGATTCGCCATTAATCAACCAGGGCTTTATTCCACTCCAACTAACCTAGATATGTGCGCAGATTTATCCACCCGCCAGCTAGAAGGTTGTTGCATCGTTACATTTTCGTATAAATGCTTGAACGCGAGTATTATTCAGCCAGCATAAATGTAACGGTCAGCATCTTGAAAATTTGTATCAAACCAGAAGAGAAAGAAAAAAGCAACTAGTCGACGCATGCCCTCGGGAGGATTCGAACCTCCATCTCCCACATGGCTACGATATTCTGGATACGGGTTGTGGGTAATTTCCATTAATCAACAAGGGCTTTTTAGCCTTCTCAAGACTTGGGATATACCTGCATGACTCTAACATCTGCTGCAAGTCTGAGTCACCGAACAAATTGGGAGCATGTGGTATAAATTGCTGAAAGTAATGATTTGAATACTTCATCATTCTTGCTGGCGAGTCGGTACATGACTGTCCTCAACCCTAAGCCCTTATTCACTGGTGTGATTCCACCGAACCTGCATCTATGCACAAGGTCCGAAGGTTATTTAAGATCCTGGAAATCTGCATGTAAAATGTCTCGATAGTATTAGAACACAAAGATTCGTCTTCGCAGATGCTCCACCAGCAGTTATATATCTTGCAGCCACATCAACGAGAGAAAAAATGTGCTGTTCGCTCGTATACCCTAAGGAAGACTCAAACCCCCATCTCCGTCTCCACATGCATGCCTGAAGACCGGCCGTTTCATGAGTTGCGGGTGATTCACCATTAATCAACCAGGGTGCTATGCCTTTCACATGGACCTGCATATACGCGCACAATCTTCTAACTGCTTGCACCGAAAAAACTTCATACAATTCCGTTTAATTGTTCGAACGCAAAAATAATAATTCAGGGAGCATAAATGCAGCAGTAGGCATCTTGAATCTAAATCAAACCAAAAGAGAAAGATAAAAGGCAACCAACCGACGCTATTCTCCGAGGAGGGTTCGAACCTCTATCTCCCACTTATCCAGTCGATTCGACACCGCATCAAGGACGGGGGGTGATTTCCGTTAATCAACCAGGGCTTTCTACCCTTCTCAGGACCCCGGATATACCGGCAGGATTTCTTTAACACTAACAACTGCTGCCCGGATATATGCACACAACCGGGAAGATTATTTGAAATCCATCGGAAGCCTGCATGTAAAAATATCTCTCTAGTATCAGAACGCAAAGAGTTGGGTAGTAATTCAATTATGAATTGTCGTCGGAAAATCAGTGAGAAAAAAACACAAGTAGTGTTCTCCCGAATGCCCCGAGGAGGAGTCGAACCTTCATCACCCATCAACCTTTCATTCAAGTCGTACGGGTGATGTCGCTTAATCAACCAGGGCTTTACCTGGCTTTATACCCCTTCAACTGAACCTGGATCTACGCACACATGTATCCAACTGCTAGACTGAATGAAGCCTGAACAACCGAATGCCGGTGTAGTGTGACGATACAATTCGCCACGCCGCGCAGATACGTATATACATATGTACCAGTGCAGCAGCAGCACTAACCAAATATCCTGAATCAAACCAAAAAAAAAAGAGAACTACCGAAGATATTCCCTGAGGAGGATTCGAACCTCCGTCTCCCACATGCATACCTGAAGGCAGGCTGTTTCATGAGTTGCTGGTGATTTACCATTAATCAACTAGGGCTCAAATGAACCTGCATATGCCTGCACATTTTCGAAGCTGGCAGAAGTGCGAACCACTGAATAAACTTCAAACTACTTCTCCGCATAAATGTTTGAACACGAAGCGAGCATAAACACAGCTCTTGGATCGAAACCGAACTAAAGGGAAAAAAAAGTCTTACACGACTGTGGGACGACCATGCCCTCGGGAGGATTCGAACCTCCGTCTCCCACGTGAATGCTATCGATTCGGTAAGGACAGCAGGTGATTTCCATTAATCAACAAGGGCTTTCTACCCTTCTTAAGACTTGGGATACACCTGCATGATTTTATTAACCTCTGCTGCAAGCCTGAATCACGGAATAAATTGCAACGGTGTTAAACAAGAGTGTAATCATTCAACGTTCAGGTGTTGCGGCTATGGACCTTGAATGCGAATTAAGCTAGGCATATAAAAAAACTGGCGGTCCTCAACCATATTTAAAGGTGTGGCTGATGTCCATTAATCACCATCGGCCGAATCCGGGTATACGAAGAGAGTATTTGAAATCCCCGCAATGCATGTAAAAATGTCTTCCTAGCATTAGAGCGCAAAGATTTGTATACAGATTGGTAAGTTGCAGCCAAATCAACGGGAGAAAAAACCACTGGCGTTCAGGCGAATATCTGGGGGAGGACTCGAACCCCCGTCTCCCATCAGCCTACTTACCTAGCTGTATGGGTGGTTTACAACCAGGGCTTCACACCCATGTAGCTAAACCAGGATATACCCGCACTGGTTTACAAGTTGCATCCCAGTAGAGGCGAGCACATCCGGGCATTCATTGAGGACTCGAACCCCCGTCTCCCATCAGCCTATTTACTTGGCAATATGGTAAGTCGTACGGGTGGTTTACAACCAGGGCTTCACACCCATGTAGCTAAACCAGGATATAACTGCACTGGTTTACAAGTTGCATCCCAGTAGAGGCGAGCACATCCGGGCATTCATTGAGGACTCGAACCCCCGTCTCCCATCAGCCTACTTACTTGGCAATATGGTAAGTCGTACGGGTGGTTTACAACCAGGGCTTTACACCCATGCAACTGAACCAGGATATACCCGCGCCGGTTTTCAAGTTGCAGCCCGGTAGAGGCGAGCACATCCGGGCATTCATTCACTTGTTCTAAACTGGTGGATGCACTTCAGTAGACGTCGACAATCTTTCCCTATATGTACACGCTTGCGAACTTTCAATGCTACAAAGAGTCTGCGCCACTCTATCTGGTGCAGAGGTTTAGTCATATGGCAGCATGAGGCAAGGAAGCGCATACTAGATGCCTCAAAATTGGGAGCACTCAATCAATCAGGTCCCCGTTCATGATCCAACATCGAGAGACTGTGTGACGGGAAAATTTACAAAAACTATTAGTTCGCAATGACGCAGCTGTTATGCGGGAATATGACCTGGCATGATTTTCCCACGTTTCCTCTTCGAGATGAACTTCTCCGCACGCACCCAGAAGTCCTGCCTTCCTGTAGCTCCCGCTACCCAATCCGCAACATACTCCTCCGAGTTAAGGCCCATCAGCACAAAGCGCGGATCGTCAGCGAAGTCGGGAGCCGGCTGGGCGGCTTCCTCGAGGTCAAACTGGGACCAATACATGTTCACCAATACGCAGAGCTTATCGCATTTTTTGACTATAGAAAGCAAGAGCGGAAGGTCTTGCTTTTCGTTGACACACAGATGAGTGAGCGCGGGCAGCTGGGCGATGGGCACCTTGAGCGCCCATTCGCTAGAGTCCCAAATATCCAGATGGGTGAGCGCCTGAAAAAGCGGGCGTCCAGGGTCAATTTGGCCGGGGTCGGAGGGATGGCCAAAAAGATATGCTAGAGAGACGGAGAGGTGATCCACCCGCATGTTGTCTATAGCCGGCAACATTGTATGTTTTGGGTCAAATAACGCGAGCCTAGAGGTCCCGCTGCAAAGTGACATCAAGAGTATGGCGCAGTCAAGATGCAGCGAGGTGTCCCCAGGCCATAAGAGCAGATTCCGCACGTATTTCGTGAATTTAGCGGGGGTGCGCTGCGCTGCCAGCAGAAGCGCGGTTTTATCCTGCGGCAAATCCTGCGTGAGAAGGAGAGTGCGGTATAGTAGCGGTTCAATCCTGGGCAGAAAATCAGCCTCTAAGCTTTCCAGCGGATGCTAGGACCAAATGTTACCAGTGAAGGACGCGATGCGCGACGAGAACCAGAGTTGGGATCGTTTCAGGATGTTCTGTCGCCGCGATTTCGAAGATTTCCCGCTCAAGCTCGGGTGGAAAAGAAGGAGGCTTGTTGGGTACCATGTATCGAGGCAGAGAATGGAGGTTTGTCTGGCAGCAGAATGAGGCTGTGGTGGTAAGAAGCAAGGGCGTTATTGATGCCATCATGAGCTTTGGGTGCCGTCTTTCCGTTTACTGCTGCAGCGAGTTCCCTTCGCGAGTCGGGAAGACTTCTCTCATCCCGATTATCGTTTCTGTGACTATGGAATAATTTAAATCACCTGGATTAGCATTCCCTGCAGCATCCTTCGCCGGCGCGGTCTGTTTTTGATACTGCGCACTTTGTTCGATTCTCTTTTTTTTTTCTTCTTATTCGTGGTGAGCTCGAATTTGCCTCATTTCAGACGTTAATTTACTGAAATTTCCCTCGACAGTCATGCATCATGAGCTAACTATTATTTGTATAAATTATCAACGAGGGCTTTCAACGACCTTGGTAGATCCACCCACACCGACGAACGACAAGACGACACTCGCCTACGCACCCTGTCGCGCGCGGCGGAGCGTCCTGTGCCATGTCGTCTCGGCTTGCGTGCGCTAAGCACGCCAGCCATGGCCACACTACCCGCCGTGCCACGACCCAATCCCCCCCCCCCCCCCAAAAAAAAAAAAGAAGGAGCGCAACACGACCGGGCCAATGAGTCGACTCGCGATTCAGACACGAAGGCTCGAAAGCGCAAAGCCCGTTCCCACTAAGCGCCAATCACCACCACACCGCCGACAAGATGACAACTCCCCCAGGTATCCCGTCGCGTGTGGCGTCTCCTCTCGGCGCCACGCCCGCCACACAGCCCGCCGCGCTACGCCACATCACAATCCCCCTCCAAAAAAGGGCGCACACGACCACGAGCGCCGACGACAAAAATAGAGAAATAGAGTAGCCTCGACGCGCACCGATATGGCATCGCATGGCCACCCATAACCCTCGGATCGTATCGCATCGCATCGCCGACGCGATGCGCGCGGATGCCAATGCCGGAGACAGCGCGAAACGGATAAAAAGGGAAGAAAAGAAAAAAAAAGACATAAAATGGCAAAAACACTCACCCCTTCCTCCAAATCGCACTCGCGGAACACGGCCTTGCGGAGCCCCCACTCGATGCTGAGTACGTCTGCGAGGATGTGGGCGCTCGCGGGTGTGAGCTGCACGCCGGAAAAAACGACGGAGCGTGGGTGCGTCGGGGGTGTGGTCTGTAGTAGGGTATTTTTTTTATCAAAAAAGTATAAAAAGGGATGAGGAAGAGGACGGAACGGACCTTGAACGCCTGCATAATGCCCTTATCCGGTGGCTCGAGGCATCCCTCGCAGCACTCGCGGTAGAAGCTCTCGACCTTGTCCATCGCCCACCACTCCAGCGCCTCCTCCTGCCCGCTCACGCCGCTCCTAATGCTCACACTGTCGCCGCCCGTCATAGGTGAATTAAGGGATGAGGAAGACAGGGAGCGCACGACGCGCCGCCTGCGCTCGCGCTCGCGCTCCTCGATCGCGCGCTTCTCCTCCTTGAGCGCGGGGGTGCTCGGCGGCGCGAGGCTCGAGATGGGGTACACGACCGCAATCTCGAGCAAGATGAAGTGCGCGCGCTTGAGCACACGGGCGTTCTCTGCGTCCTTGCTCCCTCCATTAACAGCATTATTATTAATACCCTCGGGGTCGGAGTTATTATTATTGCTATTCGCAGCGTTATTGGATGCAGGAAGAAATCGAGAGAGGCGGGAGAAGAGGGAGGCCTGGGCGGGGGGCGGCTTTTTGAGGATGGAGCGGCCGGGGATGGGGATTGTGTTGGCGCTGCTGGATGGCGAGGGGGACGACGGCGGGAGGCGCGGGCTGCCAGTACCATACGAGAGCGATTGGCCAGAGATCGAAGGCGAGGACAGCGAGCTGTTAGATCCGAAGGCGGGCGAAGAGAGGGAAAGAGACGGCGACGAGGTCAATGGTGACGAGGTCATCGTGGTTGTTGGCTGTACCCTAGACACCGCAGCGCTCCTTGCGCATCAATGATCAATCGGCCAAAGGAGGAGAGAGCACGCAATATTTGGCAAAAGCAACGGGGAATAACAATGGATAGTCATCAGAGTCACATTGGGCATTGATCCGAAGGCGGTCCGAGTTCGCGAGAAACAGCTATACAAGTATGGGAACATCTATACGAGTTCAGCGGTCGTTTAGAAATAAATACAGTAGCCCGCTGCGCGGCAAGGCCCATTATCAGGCTACAGTCATTAACCTAGAAGCGAAATGATTAGACAATATCGTGATTTACTCCGTGATTACGAGTTATATTCATCCAAACTTTTTTTCCAGTCGATGTAAATACTCCGTGGCTACCTGTCTACAGAATGGTTGGAGTGAATTGGTGAAGTATTGGTGGAGAACGGGCCCAATTTAGTGATACCATCACATTCTGCCATAAACCACGAAGCGAAACACTACGATGGGCACGATGAAGTGTCTTTGAAGACCTGGGGTGGTCATATTCTGATTCTACGACCTTAAAAACCCCCACAGCATGCCATGACTGTAAAGTTACTGCCCAGCAGCTGGGGACCCGGGCAGCTCGATAAGTTGTAAAACTGAGCCAATCAGTAACTCAAAATGGCGATTTTTTTCTTGAGCTCTTAAAGCGCTCCCTGGCAAATTCCTTTAGTGAATATGAGTTTTAGATATTATAGAATGCGCTCAAAAAGATTGGGCCCTGGGGGATGCTCAACTGATGCAAAACACGTGGTGTTTCGCTTCCCGGTTTATTTCGCTTCCCGGTTAAAGACTGTATTTAAAGTTGTCATATCATTAGGGTTGTTGGCACAGTAGCCCTTTTTCTTCCCTTTTTTTCTTCCTTTTTTCTTCCTTTTTGATGTTCCCGTCGATTTTCGCCGGATTTTTTTCTCCCATTTCCATTCAAACATGCAAAAAGGTCTCCCACCCAAAAATTCGCTTCCCCACATCAAAAATTGGCCGAAAACCACAAAAAAGAAACGAAAAAGTGAA